GCTGGCGCCCCCCTCCTCAACCTGGGGGGGCATCAGGGCCGCCCACGCCATCCTGGGGGGGCTGCACCTGACACTTGACTGGGCCGTGAGGGGGCTACTGCTGCTGAAGACTCGGCTGTGACCCGAGGCCCAGAGCCACCACCGTCCTTCCAAAGCCACATCTTATTTATTTATTTATTTCGGTACTGGGGGCGAAACAGCCAGGTGATCCCCCTGCCTTTGTCTCCCCCTAGTTAGAGACAGTCCTTCCGTGAGGCTGGGGGGCATCTGTGCCTTATTTATACTTATTTATTTCAGGAGCGGGGGTGGGAGGCAGGTGGACTCCTGGGTCCCCGAGGAGGAGGGAGCTGGGGTCCCGGATTCTTGCGTCCACAGACTTCTGCCCTGGCTCCTCCCCCTCGAGGCCTGGGCAGGAATACATACTATTTATTTAAGCAATTACTTTTCATGTTGGGGTGGGGAGGGAGGGGAAAGGGAAGCCTGGGTTTTTGTACAAAAATGTGAGAAACCTTTGTGAGACGGAGAACAAGGAATTAAATGTGTCATACATACCCACTTGAGGGCGACTTGTCTGAGAGCTGGGGCTGGATGCTCGGGTAACTGGGGCAGGGCAGGTGGAGGTCCCGAGTGGGCGGGGCAGGGACTGGGAGACGGTCAGTCACCCAGACAGCTCTGGGGAGGCAGAGTTTGAGCCTCGCCTGGGGCCCCACACTGCATACAGCTCTTTGTTTTTTGAGATGGAGACTCGCTCTGTTGCCTAGGTTGGAGTGCAGTGGCACAATCTAAGCTCACTGCAACCTCCACCTCCTGGGTTTAATCGATTCTCCTGCCTCAGCCTCCCGATTAGCTGGGATCACAGGCGTGCACCACCACGCCCGGCTAATTATTTATTTCTTTTGTATTTTCAGTAGAGACAGCGTTTCACCATGTTGACCAGGCTGGTTTCGAACTCCTGACCTCAGGTGATCCTCCTGCCTTGGCCTCCCAAAGTGCTGGGATTACAGGTGTGAGCCACCGCACCTGACCTATATAGGTCTTCCATAAATATTTAATGGAAGGTTCCAGAAGTCACCCTGTGATTAACAGTACCCGTATGTGACAAAGCTGCAAGGTCAAGATGGTTCATTATGGCTGTGTTGACTGTAGCAAATTGGAAACAATCCAGATATCCAACAGGTGAGGGTTAAACAACATGGTGCATCGGTGGATGGAATGCCGCCCGGCCACCCAGAGCAGGGACTAGCATTCAGGGAGGCTAAGGAGAGAGGCTTGCTTCGGATATAGAAAGATAGCCTGACATTGGCCAGGCATGGTGGTCATGCCTGTAATCCTAGCACTCTGGGAGGACGAAGCGAGTGGATCACTGAAGTCCAAGAGTTCGAGACCAGCCTGGGAGACGTGGCAAAACCCTGTCTCAAAAGAGAAAAAAGGATGTCCTGACATGAAACAGCTACAAAACCACTGCATGATGCGATTCCAATTTTTGTGTTTTTCTTTCTATATATGGATTAAAAAAAAAAAAAAAAAAACCCCTAAAGGGAAATAAGCCAAATGTTGACAAGAACTGTCTCCAGGTCAAAGGAGAGAGGTGGGATTGTGGGTGACTTTTGATGTTTATGATTGTCTGTATTTTACAGAATTTCTGCCATGACTGTGTATTTTGCATGACACATTTTAAAAATAATAAACACTATTTTTAGAAGAACAGAATAGCAGCCTCCTCCCCTCCAAAAATAAGCCCTCAGGAGGGGACAAAGTTGACCGCTGAGTGGGACTCTCAGGGCTGTGCACTAAGTGTGGGCTTTTTACTTACACAAATCTCCCCGACCCTTGAATACGCCCTGTTTTACAGGCGAGGGAAACTGAGTCTCAGACAAGGAGTAGGGACTCTGTTGCACAAAGTCACACAGCTAGGGAGAGGTGGAAGTGGGATTCTGTGCATGTCTGGCTCTTTCCCAAAGCTCTCTTTGCAACTTGGTGTTGAGGAACCCTTGCAACAGGCACACACATGAGATACGGAAAAACAGGTTCAGTAGGGATTTGGGTCTTACCCAGGGCCTGGAGAAGGGTCAATGGCAGAGTAGGGACGATAATTCAAACCCTTTACCTAATTTCCCCTTTACAATAACCCAGACAGACTTCCAGGGGCCCCGTGTTGTCACTAGTTTGGGTCTGCAGTTGGGGGTGCCCATCCTGGGCCCGGAGTTTTGATTCACCCATCTCAGCCCTCAAGACTCCAGGCTGGCCAGGTGCGGTGGCTCACGCCTGTAATCCCAGCACTTTGGGAGGCTGAGGCGGGTGGATCACTTAAGGTCGGGAGTTCAAGGCCAGCCTGACCAACATGGAGAAACCCTGTCTCTACTAAAAATACAATCCAGCTACTGGGAAGGCTGAGGCAGGAGAATCGCTTGAACCCAGGAGGCAGGGGCTGCGGTGAGCCGAGATCGCGCCATTGCACTCCGGCCTGGGCAACCAGAGTGAAACTCCCTCTCAAAAAACAAAAAAACAAACGCACAAAAAAACTCCAGGCTATATCCCTGGAGGAGAAGAGAGCCCACGGTCCCCGGAGAGTTACCGGAAGAGGCCCCTGTGTGTCCGATGAGGTCACAAAGCCCCTCCACCAGAGGCTCCTCCCCCCAGCCCCTGCTGTCCACCCTGGCAGGGCCATGGCCGAGGCCCGAGTCTCCCAGCCTGGGGCATCTCCACGCTCTGTAACTCTGAGCTCCAGGCACCTGTGAAGCCCCAGGGGCCAAGGCTGGTGGGCCGGGGCTGGGAGGCCTGCACACCTGGGTTCTGGGTCCCTAAACCAGCACCCACCGCCACCATGATCTGGCTTCGAAACAGGAGGCGCCCTGAGCCGCTCCAGGGCACCCCGAAGTGGGTCCCTGTTCTGGGGGAGCTGCAAAAGACCCTCCAGAAGGGCGAATACCTGCCCCTCCGTCCACTGCCCATGTTCGAGAGTAACTTTGTTCAGGTCTCCAGCTCCCAGTGCCCTGGGGCTGAGAGGGGCAGAGGGGAAGCGAGGCCACCCGGGCTGGGGGATTTTGAGAGGGAATGGGATTTAGCCGTCCCTGTGTAGGGGACGATCAGGAGGGAGGCTCAGGCCGCGGGTGCTGGAGGAAGGAGTGGTTCCAGCGCCTCTCCCTGACTGCCCCAGGTGACCCATCAAGGGGGCCCAGTGTTCGTGAATCACAGAACCAACCGGCTGGCCATGGGCGTGGCTGCCTCCCTGCCAGGCCTGGTGTTGCCCGACATCTTGCTGATCGGCCAGCCTGCCGAGGACGGGGACTGCTCGGGCCTCGTGCTGACCAGGTGCCGCATCCCCCAACCCCTTGGCCGCCCCCTCTGCCCTTCCTGCTCTAGACGCTCCCTTCTGCCTCTCCCAGGATGATCCCCCTGGACCTCATCCACCTCTGCGTCCATGACCTCTCTGCCTGGCGCCTGAAGCTGCGCCTGGTCTCGGGCCGCCAGTACTACCTGGCTCTGGACGCCCCCGACAACGAGGCAGGCTTCCTGTTCCACTGTTGGATCCGCCTCATCAACCTGCTTCAGGAGCCGCCTCCCACCTGGGCCCCCAGGACCATGTGCACGGCCCCCCTGGATGTGCCCCTGGCCAAAGCACCTGCCTCCACCTGGCACCTGCAGGTGGGACCCCAGCTCCACAGCCCAGGGCATGGCAGGCCCTAGGAACTCCCCGGGCACCTGCAGGTGGGACCC